CTGCTCCAGATGCCAGACAGCATTATTAAATCTGCATCAGGCCTTTATGGTCAAACGAGAAGAAACCCTTTACGAATATGCGTAAAATCTTTCCAATCTATCAACAGGAAGGTCAGCATCAGCATTAGAGACTCAGATGTGGAGGTTGGAAGTCGTCCTCGTGCTCTTTGTTTGTGCGCCTCAGGCAAACAGATTTGGCAGCACTAAAAAACTGTCATCAAACTCCCATCTGTTATAAACCATATGGTCAGAGTGATGGTGAGCAGCAGGGCTGGCCAGCTGCACACACACACATACAGACGGACGCTGACAGGTGAGAAAGTCTAATACAGTGATTAGATCTTCACTCTCATGTATCCTGCAGCCTTTGTTTTAAGTTTTAATTTCTTTTGCTGTCTTTAAAAAAACAAAACAACTCTTTATTGATGCTTCTAACTAATGTGAAGTGTTTCATCGTGGTGTAGGAACTGGACGGATGCATTTCTTGTATGCTTGTTTAAGAGGGCTTTAACTGGCAACGTGGAGGTTTAGCTCTGGGCTTATTCACAGGAATCCCCCCGTCTCATCCCATGACACGCCAGTTACCTGGAACTAATGGAGTTTAGCTGCTGGGAAAGAGAGAAGAGACGGAGACTATCATTGAGAAAAAGCTCTATTAATGGTCCGTCAGTGACTTTTTGAAGGGTTGGTGACAGCCAATAAAATGAATGATTCTTTATGTCTGATCAACCTCCAGCACTTCAGCAACTCCAGACCATCATGTTTTCCATCTTAAAAACAAAGAAAGGAAAAGTGATAGTAAGATAAAACTGGGGAAAGTACAATGACTGGAGGAAACAGTGATACATAACTCTGCCTTCTTTGTCTTTGGATGCTACCACAGTCAGAGTTTTAAAAGACTGAGTTTCTGAACATATACCGAGGCCTCATGTTTGATGAACACATCTGCCAAGTTACACAGTGCTGATATAGAGTGTATCTGCAAACCACTTTCTTGATTTGTATTTCTGACTATATCTGCTCATTGCAACTAGAGCGTGATTAACTTCTCATTAGGCAGGGTCAGGCAACTCACAGCACTTGGTTAAGGTTAAAAGTAAACTCTGATTCAAGGCATGAGGTCCAGCGTTTTACACACAGACTGTCTTCAGAAGATGGACATAGTGACGTCACCCATTGGTTTGTGTTTGGTGTTTTGCTGGTCTTTTGGAACCAGATGTAACAAGGGACAGGGACTGACTGGACTACCTGATGACACTAGGTCAGGGGTCGGCTCCGGAGATGCATGCAGCTCTTTCATCCCTCTGCTGCGGCTCCTTGTGGCTTTGGGAAATAAATGAGTATTTAATTTAAATGTATTATATTTTAGTTCGATAGTTTTTAAAATGTAATTCTAAATGAGAGACTCTGACGTGAACAGTATCAAATCTCACCGCCTGCCTGGAGGACACAAGGGCGTGGATGACACTAAACCTTCTTCAGCTTAACAGCACTAAAACCGAAGCCATCCTTGTTGGCACCCTTCACCAACTCCAGTCCTCCCCCATTACAACTCTTTCCTTCTCAGGCCACTGCATCCCTCTCTCCACCTCTGTGAAAAACCTCGTGGTCATTTTTGACCCCACCCTTGCATTTGATCACCATATCCACCACCTCTGTAAAGTTTCATTTTTCCACCTCACAAACATCTCCAAGCTGCGTCCCTTCCTCTCCCTCAGTGATGCTGAAAGGCTGGTCCACACCTTTGTCTCCTCCAGGCTGGACTACTGTAACGCCCTCCTTGTCGGGATCCCGGGTAGGAGCCTGCAGAAGCTTCAGTACATCCAGAACTGCGCTGCCCAGATCCTGACAAGGAGGTGCAAATATGATCACATCACCCCCATACTGTGGTCCCTCCACTGACTCCCGGTCCGTTGGAGGATAGAATATAAAATTTGCCTGCTGGCCTTCCAGTGTCTGCATGGCCACGACGTCTCCAGGCCTCTGACTCAAACCTCCTTTGCCCACCAAGGACTAGACTGAGCACAATGGGGGACAGGTCTTTTCAGGCTGCTGCTCCACGGCTGTGGAACGCCCTGCCTGAACACCTGAGGACTCCACAGTCTGTGGAGTCATTTAAGAAGCACCTGAAAACATTTTTATTTATCAAAGTGTTTCTAGTCTAGACAATATCTGATTATCATGTTTCTCTTTTCTTTTGTGTTGTTTTTAACTCTGGAGCACTTTGAGATTTTGTTCAAAATGTAAAGTGTGTTATAAATGAAATGTATTATTATTATTATTATTATTATTATTATTATTATTATTATTATCATCATTATTATAAAACACATATCGGTCTGTAGTTACTGTCCTCAGTGAGCAGCGGTGCTGCTGTGAGCTCCTCCCGTCCCAAAGTGCTCACAGGCGGTCAGCAGTCTGGTCAGCAGTCCAGCTGCAGGCAGCAGGACAACCAGACGGCGTTTCTACTTTGCTGCAGGTGAATAATTTAAGTTCAGCTTTCTATTTCATAAATACAAGGAGTACTCAAATAGACGCTGAGTATTTTATTTACAAGTAACCTTCAACCCAGTGTCTTTTTTTTTCAGAGTTCAAAATGTTTTTGTTGCAGAAATAAAACTTTGTTTCTTCTGCAGCAGTTCATTGAAATGCAACACACTATAGTTTTTTTTTTTTAATGCATAGCATAAAGGTAAAAACCATATATGCAGTGTTATCTTCATTTTAGATGTCAGAAGGGTTTTGTGGCTCCCGGTGTTTTCTTTTCCGTGGGCAACGGTCCGACCCCTGCACTAGTTACATCATATGGTAGCTTTATCATACAGTTCCCTTTAAATGGAACCATAATTGACTAAATGAACAACATGCTGTAATAAAATATTCTTGAAATAAGCAGTTGAGACCATCAACTCATTGGGGCAATGCTTACTGAGGAGACAAATCAAGTGAAAAGTAG